GATGATGATGATGATGATGATGATGATGATGATGATGATGATGATGATGATGATGATGATGATTAGTCAAGGCCTTGTTCAAAAATAGTGATGATTGTTTACTGACTGTTACAGGTAATTGGGGGTAATTGGGGCTCTGCTATATAGACTTGGCTCATAGACAAACCGTGCGTATGGTACCAGTCCTAGGCTGGCAATAGCTGACAGATTGAAATTAGCTGTCCTGACGACAGCTTCCGACGAATGCCCGAGGACCGCGAGCCCGCGAGCCCACCCGCAAAGAAAAACACGGCCACGTGGCCACAGCCCCAACAGTCCAACAGTCGGTCCAAACATGGGGTTTCGGCATGGTTTCGCATGATTTTGCAGTCACGACATGATTTTATATGATTTTGACATGTTCGGGCCTTCTTGGGAAACGCCATCCGAAGGTAAAGGCCCCAGGGCAGGGCGGTCTGGGCCCACTTGCTCTCGAGCGCTGCACGCAGCAGGTGCTGGACGGAGAGGCCCTCCGAGTACTTGCCTTTCAAAGGTGGCAGGGCGCATCTCTCCATATCTCTCCATTGCAACTGTGACACAGGACGCAAAAAGTGAACGAAGACAAAAGCGTTTATTTTTCCAGGAGTGGGTACATGACATGGAGTGTCTCATTTCCTCGCGGCTGTTTAGGAGAGCCAAGGAAGTGAGCCATGTTTAGTGAGCTCTTGGGCTCTCACCACTACCCGTGACTCTGGGAGTGAATTGCTGAATCATGCTGAAGCTTGGCTTTGGGGTCAAGGAAGCTTGCCCCATCTGGCTGCCAGGGTGGAGTGGTTTCTGGTGGAGGCGACGTACATGCAGGACACACCTTCATCGCTCACGTTCCGTCTAATTATCAAGTATTCTATGCCTGGAGGTGGGACGCCGACATACCCAAAAGGGTTTCCCGACTGTTCGTCTTGCATGGGGGGTTCAGCCAAGCACTGATGACGTTTTTTGTAGCTGAATAGGATTAGGATTATTGTGGCCTGCAACCTGCCGGAAAAATCCATGGTATAAACAGCCAAGAGAAAGATGGAGTTATCAAGACTCCTAGGCATTAGTTCAACGCCACATTGTCATCGGCTCGGGAGCCCATGGCTGTGCACAGCATGTCATGAAAACGTTGGGTGGATTGTAGCTCAACGTCATCAGCGAGCCTTTCACTTGTGAGCCATCAGGCATCCTCAAGGCAATCTCAACTGTGCCATCTGCCCCACCTGGATGACAAGGGAGTTTCACGGTCTCGGAGGCGATTCGAAGGCGAAATCTTCACAGCTCAGACAGCTTGGGATCGATTTGCTGGGGATCCCTCAAAGGATATTCCCAGTGTTTGGTCCAAACAAACCGATGGCAACCGACTTACCTTTCGCCGGCCGAATCATCAACCCTGGTTGACCGGGATGTATGTTAAGGTCGAGCTTGACTTGCCTGCTAGGTTTCCTCAACTCGGGGGGGGGGGTGCGTCACCATACATGGGTAGGCTCTGCGTGCGCATCGTGCACTGACCTCAAAGATGAGCATCCAAGATCAACACATCGATAGCTGCCTCTCGCCCAAAACCCTCTGTGCTCCACTGGAGCGGTCCTGCAGGTGTCTCCTCCGTGGACACCTTCTGGAGCAAGTCTTGGTACCGCTTGCGTCGGGCCTCCAAGCGCTTCTGCTCCATCTCCTAGCGATGGCGCTGTCTGCTGCGGCGAACCGGGGGGGATGGAGGAGAACCAGAAAGCGCCATCGGTGAGGTTTGGAACTTCAGGGAACTGAAGCATCAGTTAGGCTCCCAGAAAGTGGGAGCATGTTTGGAGGAAACAAGTCCTACAGGTGGTAGTATATTATGGGCCGTGACGCACCTGCCATGTTCCCTCATCAAGTCAAAGACTCGAAGCCATCTGGCATCGTGACAACGACACCTGCATGCACTTTCCTCAAATAAGCAGCCGCATTTTCCCCCCTGAAGCCTTGCTCAACTCAAGACTCTTCTGAGCTTTCATCTGACAACTGCATGCGTTGAAACCTGCGATGCACCTTGTCTATGCAACAAGGGCAGCACATCAATCGCCCCAACTGTACCGCATCGGGTTTGTTTTCCCTGCGGTGGTTCATGTTGTACATCAGCTGGAACGCGCAACACGTGGAGATGGCTAAGACCACCGCGAGCACGATGCTGCAAACAGCTAGGTGCAGGTTATGGGAGGCGAACCTCGCCTTGGATACGAACAGCAAGGTTCCCAAAATGGATCGGATTTGCCGTCGATGTCGGTTGATTTCCCACGGTCTTTTCGGAACCATTGTGACCAGACCGAAGTGGGTGAGGTATGAGGATCAACACATCACGATCAGGATCGAAGAACATCATCACCGGGGAAATCAGAAAATCGAGCCTCCGAAACAGAACACCCAACACCCGGAATCCGCCATCCGATTATCCGATTTTGTGGGGATTGTGGGGGGGGCAGCCGACGAAACCAAAAAAAGGTTTGCCCTTTTTTCCCCTTCCTTTCTTCCTTTCCTTCCTTCATATTTTGTTTAATGATACGTACCCTGATACTTATTTGTTTCTGGACCTGAAATTGATTTTTGATACCCATGTCCTTGGGTGAGATCTGCCCCAAGGGCAGAAAACCCTTGAATGTACATCAATGTCAATACCTCTCAAATACAAAAAATAAACATTCCCTCCAAATCCTGTCTCTCCTTTACGGGTGGCATGTCCTCTTTGCTCCTCACTCCTCGTCTCAATTCGTAACACAAAAAGCAATCCAATTCTTTATTCCTGTTATTTTAGTCTTTGTTTCTATAATAGCAATGCCCTCCAACCAACTAGCGATGGCCTCGACCCTACTAGCAACGGCCTCCAAAACACTAGCGATGGCCTCCAACCTACGGCACTAGCGATGGCCTCGAATTGCCAAGTCATGGCTTCATTGAACCAATCACCCCACAAGCCTCCTGGTTCCAAAAAGCACTGCGATCCAAGCATTCAGGCTTGTCAGGCCACAGAGGAAGAAAAACAAAAAAGCAAACAACGTCGATTCTGTCCGTGTCTCCAGGATCGTGGGATCACCTCTCTTCCAGCAGGTGCTCTCCTCAAAATAGGCCGTAGCTTGGCTGGGTGCCACGCTGCTCCAGGCTGGAGCCGGGTGCAGCTGCTGCGTGCCGGAGAAGAGCAAGCAAAGCTCCGGCCGTGCCACTGTGGGCCGCAAATGCGCGAAGTCCTGACACTGGATGTCCGCATCACAGGCCTCAAAGTGAGGTTCGTTCTACAGAAAAGGCCAATAAGTACCGGTGACCCCAGGTTGGAATGCATGTTTTGAAAGCTTTGAACAGTTCTACTTGGCGCCTCTTTGGAGGTTTTGCTGTCTGTCCACTCCCAGAAACAGTGACAGGACATGCCGCGACGTGCTGGAAAATCCGGTTCAAGTGCACTATCTGACTCGATGTGAAGCTTCCCAAGGTCGACAATTTCAAACATGACCAATACTGGAACCAGTCTTACACATGACGGAAATGCCGCAGGACAATTGAACCGAGTCATGATTGAATCCATCTTTGTCCTCCTTTTGCAATCAATCGTGCCGGGCCTGGCGGCAGGCGCTCGCATTGGTTGAGGCGATGAAGAAGTTAGAGGAGAGGCCATGAAAACCGCTGGTGCAGTTCTCCACTGCCTGGTTTCAGGGGAAGCCCTCCTAGGCCGGACGTCTGTGTGTTGTTTTTTTTGTCTTTTGGCGTTTCGATTGGTTTGATACGGTTTGATATTGGTTTGATATTGTTTAATCCAGGTGACCTGAGGTGTTTCAGTCTGTGTCCATGTCTGCTTCTCACTGTCGGCCTGGTATTGGAAGCTTTCGCAGAGCTGAGGCATGACTTTGCATCCATTTTGTAGGACGGTGACCTTCCAACTGCAAGCAGCTTCACAGGGCGGTGCAGCTCCATATTTGGATGCCCAGAAGCAATGTTGGGCAGCACCCAGCTGTATGTAGGTACTGGCATTGCACAAATGTTGCACCTGACGGTCCATGATTGGCTGCGTCACTTGGACCCGCTGTAAGATCTGCATGGACATCATCAAGATCACTGCCGCGCATGAGGCGGAGGAAACGCCATAGACAGCCGCGGTGCACTTGTGCCTTCCTTGAGTGGCGGTGATGCCCAACAGGCTAATGAAGAAGACGATGAGGCCCATGAACAAGAGCATGTGCACCAGGGACATGGTGGTCAGCACGCGAGATGCCCCATCCAAGCTGTTACCATAGGGTCCAGCTGTATCCACCCGTACCACACGGTCCATGAGGTAAATAGCTTCAGACTTGGCTCCCGCCATCGCAACCACCACAAGGAGGCAACCCACAATCATGGAGAGCAAGGCCCAAGCCCGCGCACCCATCCGTTCTCTCCACCTTAGGTGATCTGAAACCCGAAACGCGCTAGGCTCGCATCAAAATGCCATACAGAAGAAATGCGCCAGGCTCGCTGCGTCGTCTCTGGAAAAAAAGTTGAAAAAAGGAACCCCAAAAAAATCTGACACCCTACCATCCCTGGATATCCCTGGCCTCTCATTATCCTCCTCATAGTGTGTATCCGCATCTTTCCCATCCCGGATGCGCCGCTCCATCGCACTTTTAGGGAGCCCAACTGCACCGGGGGCGCAGCGGTCTCTCAGCGGTTTCCCTCGCGAACCCAAAGAAAAACAAGAAAGCATGTTGCTAGTAGTAAGGCCGGGAGCCCCTAGTAGCGTCCTTGCTCCTAGTAGATGTAGAAAGCAATCCCCACGTGCTTCGGCAACATCAGGCACAGGTTAACCCGGCTCTGCGGCTCTGCACCCTCCAGGTCTCAATAAACATGACATTCTTGCAGTTCAAACCCCCATCTTTTTGCTTGGAATTGGGTTGCCGCGGGGCGCGACAAGTCTCATACAATGAAAATCCTCCGTGACACCAGCGCTGATGTAGACCACAAGTCGGGCGCTCTATTTCACAGGCGGAAGTGCATGACATCTCGCAGTTGCTGGCTTCCAGCACAATTCCAGCAAAATAGTCTTCCTTTGCCTTGAAAACACGCCCAACCACAACAAGTACGGCACAACACCAGTCACGGCCCTGTTCTCTCGCGGAGACTTTCTTTACCCCTCTCCTGCCGACCCGCCGCCGACCGCTCCCGCCGCAGCTTGATCGAGTTCAGCACTCGGTCTTGGTACTCCTCCGCCGCGGGGTGTGGCATCTCCGGAGCATGAGCACAACACACGGAGATCCCACGTGTGTGGACAACGCGCGCTTCGCGATGCGGGTGGGAAGAGCCGGGGGCGATGGTTGCGAGGAACGGACTGGAGTGGATACTGCCCTGAGAGCACATGTCTTCAGTCGCAAACTTCTAGCCACACACCTGGCACCTAGATGTCTGCCGCGCATTCAAAAATTGAAGGTGTAGCCACATATTAGGCAAGCTTGCCTGGATTGCTGCTGCTTTGCCATGTCTTTGTATGTGTGTCCTGAGTGAGATTTAAAGGGTGCATAAGGGTACCATGCATGTTCCCTCTCCCAAGATTGAGTCATTGAGGCATCACTTTACAGAAACAATCCGGACAAACGCCAAGGCTTGTGGCCCAACCTGGCACCACTAGTCAAGTCACCAAGATTGAGTTCGGAGTACGTACATCCTCTTGACGTAAATGGTACTTGAGTCATCTTCACATCTGCCCCTACCGGCGCGCGCCCCGATCTTCCTTCCACCATAATTGACTCATCTGCCTCGACTGGAGAGACCCAGCGAGACCCTCAAAACCACGCGGCGCCGAGGGTTCGTTCGATCGCGGATGCCTTGGTGGCCGCTTCGTCTTCCAAGTCAGGGGCGGGCTCGAATTCCACCTGAGGGAAGACGAAAAGAACCTCCAAAGGACGGGGTCCAAAAGGTTCAAAGAAGTCAAAATGTGAAAAGACATGAATTGATGATAAATATAATGTATCTCGTATAGATGTATGTATATATTAATATTGTATAAGTACGGTACGTATATTATATATATATAATTCTACAGTATGCTAAAGTATACCCTGTGACCACATGGTGTTATTCTTTCTTTTCAGTGCTTTGTTTCCAGACCCTCAGAACCACTGGATGGATAAGAGAAGATATGAGAAAATGGATGGAGAAGCAAACATCCATGAAGAGGCCTTGAACTCGAAGTGATGCTGGACATCCATGTCCTCAGTTCGACAAAAAGGACCTCAAGCCTTCAAATCACAAACATTTTGTTGAATCTGTATGTGCTCTCCGGCGTCTCCGGTTCTCCTGGAGGCCCCGAGAAGCAGGGCAGGACGACAAAAGGCTAAATCTAAATGGAACACCCAGAGAGGTCTCATCAAGGTGGCAGTTTCGTCCAACTGTTCCCACCCACCCTCGGAGATTCCACGAATCTCCAGGTCAACCCATTGCCTCACTGCCAAGCCCTCAAGACTTTGCGTGTGTGTGTGTGTGTCGACCCAAAAGACGACCTGACGTTCGTTCCAATCCTCTTCGTTCTGTCGTTCCATCATCACGTTCGCCACCGCCCCTGCCCTCGCCCTCCACCTGGGAAGAACGGCACCGTCAAGGCTCAATAATTCGAACGGCTCCATGAGGTTCGACACTCAAGACCTGCACCTGAAAGAACCTGGTCACGTGGTCCGCGGCCCGCGGTCCGAGGACGCGGGTCTCGCGGAGACGTGGCGGAGGACGCGTCGCGACCGTGTCGCTGAAGAGGTCGGGTCGTGGTTCGACGGCCGTTGAAGTTTCGCGACAGGTCGTGAGAAAGTCTGCGAGCTGAGGTGGGGGTGGAGGTGGAGGACCTAAGAGAAGCCAAAAAATAGATGTTGACCGTTGACAGTGGTGGATCAATTGTTAGCAATTGGCTTTTGGTTTTTATATCTACTCCAAGATGCCGACCGGACCAAACGAGATGCAGCTCACACAGGCTCTATAGGGTGTGAGCCAGGTCCCCATGAACCACATACTCCGAACACCACGACCGGCAGAGGCACTTCTCATTCACTTCGATGGGCACAGCTGTGTCCTGCCGCAGATCCGCAGGTCCGATGCATCTGGTTGGGGCAAAGCAGTCGACTGCATCGACTGCTGACAAATAAATAGAACTCCCCGGATGGAGATGTGAAAACCATTCTGGTGGGTGGCTTTGATTATGCATGATTATATATGATTATGCTTTGTTGCCCTCCAACAAGCATGGAAGTGGAACATGGCCCTGGAAGGAGGACTGTTTTCCTCTTCTGACAGGCCGTTTAACACGTTCATGCTTGTTGGAGAGAGGGTCATCAACCGCCAACCTTCCTAGTCCCATCCAACCTATCCCGGATCCCACAAACTCGCAGGCTGGCTAAGTGATGACGAACTGCCCTAATGCCTCACATCCACTTGGTGACTCCCCCGCACAATGGGAGAACTCACCCACTGCGTAGGGCGTGGGCTGGTGTCTTTTGGTTTCCATCGACCTCCAGCGCTCTCATGAAAGACTGGTGACGAAGTTGCAATGCTCTCGTCATGTCGACTCTTGATCATATTTCACCCTCCCCATCTGAATGGAAAGACCTCTTTACATGGGGGACTCACAGACCCAAAGGCCATCAAGAGCCTAAAATGACGAACGCGCAGCCCCCCTCCCGGGCCAAGTTGGCCTCTGTGAGGGTGCTGAAGCGCGCAAGGGACTCCGTGAGCAGCTCCCGCACCTCCCGGCCGCTGTCGCGCACCGCGTGGTAGAAGTCCACGCTGTGGGGCTGCACCTTGACCTCGGGACATCGACAAAAAGGAAGGGACATCGACATGAGAATTCAGAATAATTGAAACCTTCGACCTTGTATAAGTATAAGATCATCTTAAATGAACTTCAGCCTTAATTTTTGAAACCGTGTCGATTAGTGGTCGCCCTCTCCACGACATGAACACCCCTCAACTAGACTGAGTTGAATGATTTACTGAATGGTTGACTGATTGATTGATTGCCCCTAATGTTGCAGGCTCTTGTTTTCCAACCCTGTCCCTCCCCATCAACTTGGATAGAGCTGGGCCCCTCCCATGAGCGAATCGGGGACACCGTTCCTGTGAACTGAGTGATTCTTCCAGGTGGGGTCATCCATAGAGGGAGATGTGGGTCATCCATCTTCGAAACCAAGAGGCCTATGGGCCTATGAATCCGAGCTCCCTTTAGTGACCTTGTCACACAGCTTCGCGAACGGTACCCTTGGAATTTTGGGACTTGGTATTGATACCCTCTCGTATAGATCTGTTTACTTTTTTCCGGCCGTGGGCATTCATTGCGAACATCAATAGGCAAAGAAAGTCCCGTGCCACTCAAGGTTTCTCCAAAAGTTTAGGACTTTCAGTCTTTGTCTGGCCATCTCTTCCACTAAACTGGTGCAACGATACCCTTCTGATATCATTAGAGCAACGCCAAGGCCATGCCTTGCCTCAAAAGAAAACGTCCCGACCACACTGACCGAAAGATCTCACAGAAAACGGAAGGAAAAGGAAAACGGGCCTGGAGGTTGCAACCTGCAGGTTGCCATGGATGGTAGCACTTCAAGCTGTTGACCCACCAATTTCTTCTCCCAGATGCGCTTGTGACCAAGTCCAGCTCGACCCCTCGCACCCTCACAGGCTCGCGCCTTGGCAGGAGATTGCCCGGAGCAGATCGTGGAAATTCGTGGAAGGGTTCTTGCTTGGCCACCTATACCATTTGACATCACCCCATCAACACATCTTGGATTTTCATTGGTTTTCACGATCTCGACCCGCAGGTGTTTGAGGCACCTGCAGGTTCCCGGGCCTCCAATTCCCCCCCCCGGATTTACCTCGATCTGCACAGCACGGATTTTGGGGATCGCTAGCAACTCTCTCCGCGCTCGATATGCAGCCGGGAGGCTCATCGATGGCCAGGTCTTCCATGACCCACTTGGGGATCAGAACGTGCATCTCCGGGAGCCCATCAAAGAACTCGAAGATCGCACCTGAGGAAGCAAGCACTTCAGCGAGCAGAACAGCCGAGCAGCAGAGAGCTCGAATATCTCTGCAAAGCAAATATGGTGTGTGTGAAGAGTTGAAGAACTTCTTGAACTTCTTGAACTTCTGGAACTGCCAATGTGCAGCAGAAAAACACGACCTCCAACTCTTCGCACGTTTTCCCCTCCCTCCGCCTGGTTTGAAAAGCACTACCCCAGTGTTCTCCAAACACTCACCGCTTGCGGACCCGCGGCAGTGACTCTTCCGGCCCAAGAGGGTCTTGATCTCAAAGATCATCGGCAAGACCAGGTCGGCACCTGGGGAAGCAACCGGCAGCGTCGCTGGCTGCGGTCGCAGCAGTCGGTCGCAGAGAACGCCATCCGAGATCCCAGCACTGAAAGCTCACAAGTGATGCACAGCTATGTCAGGAGAGGTGAAAAGAGAGGCTCTGCAAGACAGAAGAGTTCTTTTTTTCGCTTTTGGCTCCTGGTTTCATGTGGGCATGGGTTGCCATGGACCCTTGAGCATTCCAGGTTCGTTTGTGGTATGTGCTTGGAATGGGTCCACTCTTGGCACGCATTGGGTCCGCATCAGGGCGTGTTTTGCAAACAAAACGTGCACGTTGCAGCCTGCCCCGCATGGGAGGAAGTCACGTAGACTCTTGATGAGAAAAACAAACCGAACATGAAGAAGTTCTGCAATCCCAAGGGGGGTGATGAATCATGCGTCTGATCATTCTTCTAATGGTCCGATGGGTGTTGTCTTCGCTTCGAGGAGCCTTTTCAGCGTCCAAAGATGTCACTTTTCAGCCCAGTCTCCGAGCTCCGCTCGTTGGTAGATGCTGTTGGCATAGCTCAACGGCAGCCCGATCTTGTCCGTGACCTCCAACCTGCCCGCGGATCACCGTCCAGGTGGGAAAGTACATGCAACACACGGCCCTGACCTTGCCGTGACCTGCAAGTAGCAACCTTTTCGGCTTGGACGACATCCTTCTACCTGCAAGTACACTGGGAATACACTGGGACGTTAGGATCAGGATCAAAAACATCCCACGTATCAAGAGAAGACCTACTGTCCTACTGTCCTCGAGTGCACAAGGGGCCACCCCACAAGCAGCATATATTGGCTTAAACAATCCAAACACTGCCCAAACATGCCCGAACACCTTTCAAGCTTTTCCCGGCATGAATTCTTGGATCAATCCATTCGAAATGTCCAATGGTCCAGGTCCAAAAACCGAACTTCTTCCATCTTCTTCCTTTGGTCTTTTTCGCCCCTTCGAGTTTTCTCCCGATCCCCGTCGGCGGAAGGGTCGCCTCTTGAGGTCGCCCAGAAAGGGCTGCGCGGCCTCGGGGCTGAGGGCGGTCATGCCCTCACGGCAGAAGCCGTTCACGGTGTGAAAGAGCTCGGTGTTGAGGCCTCGGGGATGGTGAACTCGGTGCAGAACTGGGCGAAGGCGGAGCCAGGCAGAGCCAGGCAGGTGAAAGGCTTCGGGCTTCGGTAGAGAGAAAACACCGTTTCGGTGTTGTTGAAAGACTTGGGAATTGGGCCAAATGGTCTCATTGGATAGTTCCGTCCGGGTCACCGAAAGAGAAGTGAAAAGGGTGAGTGATCTAGTGAACGATCGAAGGCACCCGGATACAAAGCCATCTAATGCAATGCCACGATGCGTTCAAGTTGAATAGAAGCCTTGGGATACTCCTGGGGCGGACAACGGCCGGACCCAACTCCAGGGCACCCTGGAACAGCCGCCAAGGCAAATGCCGGCAGCACCGAAGATTAGACTCCCTGATCCACTGAACAGGTGGTTACGTGGATAGCACCACCTGTTTGGTCTTCGGAAGACTCATGCTCATCGTTGTGGCCATGCCATCCATGTCATCGAGCTCGTGACGAGAAAAAGGGAGTGTAGGGAAGTCACCGCAAGCTGCATCCCAAGTCTTCACAGTATGCACATCATGGACCTTTGACCTTCTGCTTCTCAAACACCTGATTCAATGTTGCTCAACTGCTAAATCTGCTAATGATGGTGATTTGCACTGTGCCGGCCCTGCGAAGAGGGGTGAACTGCCATGATGCTCCGATGGTGCTTTTGGGGGGGGCCCTGTGATTCGTTTCCTCTTCCAGATTCTCAAGTTTGTTCAGCCGAGAGCGAGGAGCAATTCAAAAGAAACCAGCTGGAGGCCGGGTGAAGGAAAAAGAACCAACAGTTTGTCAAAACGAAACCCCATCTCACCATCTACCGAGCCAATGACTGTGGGAAGAGTCTGAGTCTGAAGAGTAACTTTTGTATAGTGGTCCCCAAATAGAGAGTGGCACCGTTTCCAATACTACATGTTGAAATCCCTTTTTCTAGCTATTTGGGGGTCTAAATAACTAGTTAGTAAAACTATCTATCTCACATGGTGCCGGATTTCTTCCCTCAGTGGGAAGCCTATAAGAGTGTTCTACGGACTGTTTCTGGGAGGAATCCTGCCGTTCCTGCTTAGCGCCCAGTCACCCTGCGATGAGCTAGCTCATCCAGTTGTATCCAATCATCATCCCATCTCACTTATATCGCCGCTGTTGTTCGGTCTTTCACGGGTTTGTTCTCCAACAGCTGTTGCCTGTCCTTCTTGACATGTACCATGGTGTTGGCCTCGATCTCCGACTCCAACAAAGACTGCTGAACCTCCTGATGCGGAACAAGAGGAACACGACTTCGCAACAAACACGAAGAAAGACAGCAACCCACGGTGCCACATGGCTATTAAAGATGCTGGAGGCCTGTATACACCTGTATGTCAACAGGTTCCAGGGTTGAAACAAGCAATGTAGTGTGCTACATACCCTTTGTGCCTCACGGTCTCTGGCGGCCCTTCTCACTTCTCAGACCCAAAAAAGCACGGCGGCGCCGCCGTGACCGCGGCCCTGCCGTGACCGCGAGTTCAAGGAGGTTCCAGGACAGTTGACCATGGACCCTGGATGATTCATGATTCCGTATCATTCCCGCTGTCTTCTCGAATCATTTGGGTCATCCAACGGTGTAAGTTCTTTCGAACCCCGTCGGATTCTTTCGCTGGCAAACTGTCCAAGTGACAGTGGACCTCAGCGACATCGGCATTCACCTGGCACCTGGCACCCGTCCGGGGTCCGCTCCGGACTCGTCGGGAGGACTCGTCGTACCTTTCGGGAAAACGGTTCCAGTTTGGTCAATGCTTGCCATCGATTCCTGCCGAGGTCTCCTTGAAGACGCTCAACATCGATGTGGCAGGCTGCCAACCCGCTGAGGCCAAGAGCAAACCTGACTGCGAGGCCGAGCTTCTCGCTGAACACCGTGTGCCGATCCGATCTTCGACCGCCAAGAAGATGAATGGGCTTGAAGTGGTCATACTGATACTATAATTATACTATATTCGTCTCACGATATTCATTTCAATGATCTCATCATTAAGTGGTCATATATAATATTATATAATATATATATTTATAATTGTTGTCATTTTGGACCTAATTGAACTGAATATCATCGTCACACGACAGGATCCTAAGACCGAGGGTGTTGTCAATTAGACGATCTGCCGCCGCTAGCTTTTGCCTGCGCACGTAGGGCAACGTGGAAGTTGGCTGGTATATGGTATGCATGATGTGCTAGATAGCAGGGGTTGGCATTGACAGTCCTTGCATCTTTAGATGGCAGGGTAGTGCCTGCCGCACCTTGCCCCATCGAAGCTGGGCCTCCGGGCTACACACACGACCGCCGAAGGTAACGGGGCCTGGCGTGCAGGTCAGGTGCGCCTTTGGAAGCAAAAGCTCACAGCAAAAGACCTCCAAACACTTGTGCTATTGTCTTTTTCAAGGGGGCGGCCCATGGGCCCATGCAACGAACAAAAAAACCCTCCTTCAAGCGCTTATCGATCAGTTCACGTCACATCACACATGCCATTGTTGCGGAGGTCCTTCGAATATTTGATCCCACTGCCACTCCGCTCAAGTGGAATCAATCTGCTTTGGCCCTGCCCATCAATTCTAAATGTGCAGCTGACATCTGCCACCAGCTTCGACAGAAAGTGGAAAGGTGCATAATAGTGCATTGCTCTAAGAAACACTATTGGGTAGACCCCCCCCAAACCCAAACCATTAGACTCTAAGAAAAACCGTTAGAGCAACACCTTAGGCTCTAAGAAACACCGTGAGACTCCCCCCCCAACCCAACCCTGCTAGGCCCTTTGCGCCTGTCTTTCCCTCTCGGTAGCGCATCCGGGGTCTGCGCAGCCACACTTCCGGTGGGCTCAAGGGGAACTCCACCGTGAAGCGAACGCAAAGCGTCAAGCGGTTCAAACGCGTGTCGAACATGCTGGCCTCAGTGAAGAACTAGTAACAAGAAGCTAGTTGGTGGAGGCCATCGCTATTAGGTTGGAGGCCATTACTACTAGTAACAAGAAGCTACCAGGTGGAGGCCATCGCTCGAACATGAAGAACATCATGGCGCGTGCCTACCAAGAACCGCCGGTTGAGTTGTGCACCGCAGCTACGACGACCAGAAGCCCAGAATTCTTTCTTGAAAGAAGAACGTTCTTAATGGGTTCTTGATGGTTTTGGGCTTACTTGGCACTCGAACGAGTGTTAGGCCTTTGGGCTACCTTTCGAAAAGGAGCCGTGTTTGCAAAAAAACGCATGTTTTTCCTAGGGAGCATCTAGAATCTAGTTGTCAGGGTCTCATGGCAATTTTTATTGATCGAAGGGCTCGTGTAGTCTGGAAGTGGGACAACGCCATGCGACATATGTTAGCTTGGGCGGCTAACAAGGCCGATGCAACTGTGGGAGTCCATTTCTGGAATTGCTTGGAGCCCTAGAGGGCCCATGAGGGCCAAGGTCCAATCATGGAATGAGAAGACCAAACCACCGAAGCCTCTCACGTCCGACCCGTCTCGCCATGTGGCAGCCAGGTTCTCCAAGCTCTTCTGCAGATCTGATTCGGCTGGGAAGGACATATCGACCTCCCACTCCTCAATGGCTGGGATGTCTGGCAAATCATTTGCATATCGTATGAGAGCTGGGCACACGTACTCCTGGCACCCTGGTGGCTCTTGCCCTTTCTTCTAACAGCCTGCACCTGTGTGTGCACACCTTGGAGTCATAGGTTGTCTTTTAGACACTTTCCGGGCGTACAAATAGCAGGGGGCGGCATGATTGTGAGACCGCACTCAACAGTGAGGTCGTGATCCAGCAAAGGGCTAATGCACTTGGCAAACGTGCACTCGTCTTTCGATTTGCCGCGTTGGAATTGTTGCACTGTTGGTGATAGTGACAGCTTGAAGCAGTTTGGCGACCTTCGAAGAGTCTTCAAGGATGAACCATTCAGACCAATACGTACCAGATTCTAACCCTGCATTCAAGTCAGAGGTCTCACCTTTATCTGTAGCACACTCCAGCATCATGCTTCACGCCTTCAGTGTTTCTCAAAGTATCTCAAAGTAATCTTGCCTGGACTCTCCTTTGGTACACCAAAAATTGTGTACACGTGGTACTCTTTGTTCTCAAGCGTGCTTGTTGAGCCTTATTATATCGTACATGTTTCAGGGAAACCAGCACGTTTCTCTTTCGGGCCAGCCAATCGAACACCTTTTTCTGGAATCGTCTGGGTGTGGTTCATGGCACCTCAGTTCCCAGCGTTGTAATGCAGAAAAGCTCTATATAAATTGACATGAATTGATGTCTTTTTCGTAGCTGTTGGGGGGGTTCAATTCCACTTCATTCCCATGGTTTTGACCATGGTGGCTGCAGGACTGCATGTGTAAGCCGCATAGATTGGATGAAAGGTTGACCGCGATAAACTTAGTTCTCGTGACGCGCTTGTTCAACACTTTTTCCTCAAACACGCAGATTCTACCAAAATTTCCGTAACATCACAAAAACGTGCAAAAAGCATGGCATACACATTTTGGGGTACGGAGAACCGAACCAGGCACACCACACAAGCACGAACAAGCGCTCCAACAAGTGCATCGCTATGAGTAACACGGGCATCGCTAACAAGTGCATTACTACTTGTAGCAAGAAGCCACTATAGTAGCCAATTGCAACTAGTAGTAACGCACATCGACAAACCTTTGGACCCTCTCCACCTGGACCCGCCAGTCACGCCGCCCATCCTTTTCCGCCAAGTTCCATCAGGTTGTCCTCGACTGGCTCGCAGCGGAGCAACCACGGGGCAGCTTCGCCGGCCGCGATCGCTGCCTCCACTTGTTTGAACCTCGCTGTGCAAATCTGGAGCTTGACCAGACATGAGCCACCCTCCAATAATGCCCAGCTTGGCCAGGATGCGTGGGAGGTGCAGAGGAGGTGCATATGTATGAGTATGAGTAAGCTGTAATTATTGAAAAGCACACTCTGCCCCACCCATCTGGCCAACACCAACTCCAGCCCTTAAATGGCCCAAAAACTCCACCAAAAGCCGCTTGAAGTTCAGTTTGGGCATCTCTGGCGCTGGCTGCGGCAGCCCCGCCAAGCGGACCGTGCGCTCATTGCCCGTGCTGGGGTTGATCTGCACCATGCCTTGGAAGAGCGTGAGGTGAGCCGTGAGCCGTCCAGTTCACCAACGCGTCCGTTGAGCAGCGCAGCCACTTTTGGGGGACTGGCCGGGTCGCCAGGACGCCGCAAGGTAGTGGCTCTTGACTCAGGTGTAATCTTGAAAATCGAACGAAAACTTCCCGAACGTACGTCCAACAGGGGTTGCCAAGGCGACCAAGAGTCCTGGTTTGAATCCACCCGAGAACTGGAAACGAAGGGTCCACATGGTCCAAAGTGCCCCACTGTCGAAAATTCTGATTGCACAGCTCCTGCCACTGTCACCACTCTCACCACTCCGGCCTCTGGAGGTGTGAGTTGTGTCACTCCGGCCTCTTCCAGTGCCTCCGGTTCCGTCCGGCGGCCCCGCTCTTTTCGGAACCCGAGGAGCGCTTGAGATCCACCTTGTAGTATTGGCCCTGCGCGAAAATCTCACCTGGCGGCGCCCTGTGGACCGCCCATTCGGGCGCCCACGAGGTCGCAGGAACAATGGAAGACATGCGAAGGTTTGAGAGTTGGGCTCCAACCCTAATAGCATAAGGAACCTAATAGCTGAGATCGGGATCCGATGTTTTTTTCAGTGTTCCTATTGTGGAAACAGGACTCAACCACACCTTGTCACAGTTGATCTGCCCTCTGGATGAGTGGAGCCGTTCTTTGTAAGAGGTGGCCCTTAAACCTTTTCTTAAAAGAGGTTATGTAGGAACACCCACAGCTGTGCCTGCGCCAAGCTTGGATGATTGAGAGACTGGGAGATAAATATGACCAACAAACCCCTCCGATGTATATAGTAACAAACCCCTCCTAGGCCAGACGTAATATAGTGAGAAGAAGCTTCTGTGTTCGCACCTTACTACTCCTTTCGATTTCGGGGCCAGCTGTGCTGCTTGGCTGCCAGACAGAACTGAGACAGGAAAGCATAGGAAGGCCCAGCTGGGTCTGTCAGATGATTAGGTTGCAGGCCTTTCCAAAAAGAAAGTGATGTTCTTGTTGAGCGACGGCGAAAAGCAGGTAATAGGACAGACATGGACAGACTATAGTTATATACTATAGATTCTAAATTATGATTATAGAAAAAATTGTATAAATGATTGAATTGTCCTTTGGAACTCCTTTTGCCACCAGCCTTCTCCCCCCCGCTCAGATGCCGCCCAAGTAGCAATCTGGCCGCCCCTTGCTGGCCGCTGACCGGATCTGTTCCTGCGCTGTGGCATCGTAGCGAGTCCACCCAAAGTCTGTCTGCACCTGGCAGATCGGGCCCTCCAGCCACGGCTGAGGTGCCCAAGCCAGGGCAGGTTCTACTGTGGCATACCCTAGTCATGCCAAGCCCTATGCCCGTGTGGACATGATGGACTTGATATATGAGACATGTTCCAGTTGGTGGCAGGTGGCTTAACGTGTGATAACGACACTAACGTAGGACTCCATCGGAAGTACCTTCACAAACCCCCATGAGCTTTCCCTCGTTCCTTTCTAGAAAAGCTCTTGCCAAAGAAGTGCTGTGGTGCCAAGGAACCCTGCCTGAAAAGGAAGGACGCTGAGAAACCGCCGTCGTTCAGCATGAAGTTGGCAGCAAAATACTGGTGGCAAATGGTTGCACGTAGTAAAAGTAATGTGGTATGTTTCTACTTCCGCAATCTCCTTTCTTGTTGTGCGCTATCATCGGGCATGGTATTGGTTCGTTTCATCTGGCCCCCCACATGCAGAACCGGTCAGAAAGCAACCAAAAGCCAAGCTGCATGTGGTGCAGATGTGTTGCTTTTCGAGAGATACCACTCCAACGCAGTGCCAATGCTGTCTTCCCGTCGTGGCACTGCGGGTTAGGATGGGATGCACCAGAGCACAGTGGCGGACGTCTAGAAGATCTACAAGTCGGTCAGTGGCGGGTTGAAACCCATGTTGTTCCAATGAAATAGATCTAAAGTGTGAAACTGACTGTTCCCGAACCAGCTGCTGAAGTCGGCCTGGTAGCCCGGCTCTTCAGCCTTCTTGCGCTCCACTGGCTTGCTATCCTTTAGGCTCAGGACGCTCCGGACCCGAAAGCATGGGTATTTGGATGGAGTGAGAATGCTATATTCTAAGATTCTAAGCACGGTTTGTTTCGGTGAAATCTTAGATATCTTGGCCCCTAAGGCCCCTAAGCTCAATGACTCCTATTTTTGAGGGGTGGCCATCTTGACATGTTTGCAGTGAACTTGATTGTTCTGATGGTGATGTCTTAATGACTTGGAAAATCGGAACCGATCTCGTTCAATCTCGTTCCCAAGCTGTGCAAAACCTGATGTTGCGCAAACAAATAGCCGGACCTCACATTGTAGCTGAACCAAGTACATGCGATCTATCATGTGGCGTTACTAAGCGAACAAGGCAACATCAAACAATCGGACGGCGATGCGGAGGACAGAAAGCAGTAAGCTACTCTTCCAGTTCAATCCCTCAAAAAAGGAAGGACATGTAAATCAAAAACATCAATTTCATCACAGTTCCATAGAACTAACGTCTCACCTTTCACCCCGGTCGCGTGGGTGAAACGCTTGGGGGGGCTGCCGCCACCCCGCGCCTCGCCTCGGCTCCTTTCCTCGCCACCTCCGAGCGCGGAACTGGGGGCGACGTCTTCGGCGGGGAAGGAGACGTCTTCCGTCCTGGCAGAGGTCCGAAGCAGAAGGCAGAAGGTTTACGCTCCGACTCGCATGGGAAGACCATGACTTCCTCTTGAGTCTTGAGTGGGTTTTTTATGTCCCATATATAGGTGAGTCACACCAACATCGCTGGCGCTCAGCTTTCAAGGGCCGCGGGTCCCTTGAAAAATTCAGTTTGCCACAGCTTGGTCGCGGCGTGGTCGCAGCTTGCCAAAAAGAGGGTGGCTGGTGGCTAGTGGTTGGGGAGTCCACGTCAGATTTTGCGGGATCCTTGCGATCTCACAGCCAAGTGCATGTTCCTCTACATTGTTTGGGTTCAGCCCCTACACCAAGAGGACAGGTCATTCTGTGCCCCCATATACAACTGAAACCAACGGGGTTTGTTTCTTCAGCTGCTAAGATCCTTGATAGCTTGAACGAATCACTCTCTACAGTAGGAATCAAAAAATCTCCCTATTTGCAAGAATTGTGTCTGATCAAACCAGCATGGATGGATGGCAAGTCGCGTCGAAGGGACCGTCTCTTCCGCCATTGGATGAGACCCAGGTACCAGCACCGCACTAGAGGACCTTCTTGGGCCAGTGGCCGGGCCACGTGGGTACGCCTCCCCCAATGGCCACATGGCGCCCATCAGTTTAGTGCCCCCCCATGGGTCAGATCGAATGACTCCGGATGGGGGCTGCGTCACCGCAGAGTCTGGGCTCGCTCCTGGCATCTCGAAGGAGGCAAAGGTCTGCACCGCCTTCTGCAGAGTTTTTAACTTCTGAAGCTCCCGCGACAAGGCCTGCCGTCGCCACCCAGACGCGCGTGGCGAAGTGGCGAAGGGCGAGCGAGTCCCATTCATCGAAGTTGTTCCACGCGAGAAATCAAAGGAAGCTTAGATTTAGACAGCGCAGTCTCCACCATGTTCTCTTTGACTGTCCATTTCTCCTTCATCAACCTCATCACCCCCACAGCCTTGCCATCAAACCCATCTAAATCACCATCTGCCTGACTGGTCTCTTCCAGCTGCCGCAGCTTCTTCCAGTTGGGGCGCTCACCAGAGTTCCTCGCGTCGTCCCGCTCCCGCCCGGGCTGCAGGGCTTCGGCGATCCACTGCCGCAGCAGCGCAGACTGCCGTGCACTGAAGCAGGGCCTGGCGCGCGGCGCGCACGTCGCGCGCACGATCCGCAGGGCTCGCCTGATCGATGTCTCGGGTGGAACACCGATGTGGGGAGCCGAAGTTGAAGGCTTTTCAAAAGGCTCCTGGCCGCTACGAACGGAACAAGGACGCTACGAACGAGTCCCTCGACATTGGGTGCGATCGATGCTGAACTAACGGCAGGGTTCCTACTACAATGGCCATTGACGAACGGCAGGCGCTACCAGCTCAGATGTGGATGCTCAGGATGTCGCATCTGGCACTGATGGAAGCCCCCTTTGCGCCTATCAGGATCGATTTGAGAATTTGAGACCCAAAAAAGGTACTCCAAACCCATAAGAAAACCAATCCAAAGAACTTAAAACCCTCAAACATCCTCAAACCCCAGGTGTAAGAAAAATACTTGAGAGAGGAGGGGGTGAACGAAAGGTAGCAAGCAATCACAAGTAACCCTGGTAGAAGTCCACGACGGCGTGAACCGGCGCAGGGGGGATTTGATCCAGGGGGGGGGGGGGGCCCCCCCCCCCCGACGAACAGAATCAACTCTTACAGGACCAAATTCAATGCACAATCCCAACTCCTGATTGGAATACATTTTTGCTAAAGCAAGGAGAACTCAGGTAGCTCAAGCTACCTTTCGTGACTTTTGTTCAGCACGAGTGGAAATCTCCCTTCTCAGGAAGCCTCCCCTCCTCTTATCAGCTGAGGCTGAGCCACTGATTCTGAAGCGTTCCCAAGAAGGCCAAGTAGTGTCCTTGCAAATGCCGCGGCTTCTCACCCACACGATGAAGAAAGTAGGGAAGGACGTGTCTGGTTTGCTCCCCATTTCCCGTCTTCCTCTGGATCTAGCCAACCGACAACTCCTTACGAGTGGGCCCCAGGCAGCCCTTTTTGTTTTCTCTCAGCTCTTCTTCTCTCACCCGCTGAGCCGTCAAGGAGAAGAAGAGCCGTGTGAGGCACAACAACCTCAATACGGAGTAGATTGATCCTGATTGATCCGATCCATCCCGTGAGACGCTATGGGGTGATCTTTACTCTGTCAATGAATGCCCGACTGAACCACTTTCGGCTCTGACCACTGTTTTCTTTCTCTCTTTCTCTCTCTCTCTCTCTCTCTCTCTCCCTCTCTATCTCTCTCTGCACGACCGTGTCTCCTCGGTCTGCTGCATAGAAGTGACCTGCTTGGTACTCTTTGCGGATGCGGGTGATGACCTGAAACAGTCCTTGGTTGCATCCAAACGGTCTACAACCCGAACATGCTGGCAAGAACATGCAGCAAATTCACATGCACTTGTCTGTATGCATAGTGTCAGCTGAGCCTGGATAAGCCCCCAAGATGACGCTTCTATCACTTCTACAATCTTCTACATCTATTTTAATCTACCTTGCCAACTCCGGAACCGCGTGCAGTGCATCCATGTCTTCTGGGAAATGCATATGCATGAGCCTAGGGAGAGAGAGCAAGAGAGAGAGAGAGAGAGATCCAGAGACGCGTACACGCCAACATGGCATCCTCCGGAATCCAAGACTCAAGAAACCGACAAATTAAAGCACAGGTCCTCGGGCAAATCTAGAACCTTCAAACCGGAGTGTCCGAGGAAAACCTTGAAGTAAATGATTGCGTTTGAAGGACAATGCAGCTCCCACCCGCAAACCGCATCATACCAAGTTCCCCTGGGTGAAAGTCTCCACAACCACATGTCCAATGACCCATAACCACTTGACTCCTGCACGTCAGTGGAGTCTGGATCAAACTTAGCCATCAAGATCCTGAAATCAAAAAACCGAGCAAGAACACGTAACGAGATGTAGCCAGGTGGTCCAATAAGAGTGGGCATCATCCATGATTGCTCATACAACGCGAAAAGGCACAGCGATGTCCCATGATTCTTAGCTAGAAGACTTCCAATAAAGAATAATAACGCAATTCATACAACACTGACCAATCCAGGCATGCAACCACCTATCCTCGATGTGAACCCAGAACCTCTTGCCACGCCCGGTAGTAGTATGAATGCACTGGGAGTTGTTGAGATTTTTGCAGACGCAGCACACCTCATGGAACTCTTCTCCTGAACAGTGCAATCGAACTCATCAAAAACTCTCAAACTCATGGAGCTCGACCGGAGGTGGGCGGCCGGGCTCGATCCACCCGAGGGTCGGCCCGCCAGCTGTGAGTTGATGGCATTGTCCACGTTGAAAACGGCCTCATTGAGCCTCTGCGGTCACCCACGTGGAACACCCGTCTTCCTTTCGATGGAACACCGCGAGTTGGATGGCAGTTGGATGGATGTGATGTGGATGGAACAAGCTGCAATCCCATGCCGCAATGGATGTATGTTGATACACCACAATGTTGCCCCAATTGATCCTATATCATGCCGCTAGATTGCCTCCCATACATGAACAGGTACATACCGTATCTATGCGTCATCGTGTATGTCGCAAACCTAGCATAAAAGATCTTGCCAGTTGCTTTTTGTTCCCAAGGTGATTTCGACTATAATTGTGAAACCAAATAAGTATAGCCTAGCATATTCAGTCACATGTTGCCCACACTGTGTTACACCAATGGCTAATGTGATCCCACTGTCAACTGCATTACGATTTACAACTATAAAAAGGTCACCCAAGTGCAATCCACGTAAAGAGCACATCTCCATACTCGGAAGTGAGCCCTGTGCAGGCCTCTGAAATGTGGAGGCCATGCACCTAAAATAAACAGAGGTCATTGATGGTCTTTGCTTCGTTGGTTCATGGTGACCATGGTGGAATCTTTCCAATGCCCCTCATGCAGATAGAGGACTTAAAGACTTGGAGGGAAGATGTTGCCCTCGAAGATGCTGCCTCATCAAACCCAACGAGAAAGGGTTTTGAGGAATGTGGCGGCTAGAAGAGGCAGCCTCCACAGATCGTCTCCGCACAGAGGTGTTGAGAAGAGCTCCTCTACCAGGTCCTAGCACCATACGTCATCCAGCGGTACCGTGTGGCACACAAGAACCCTCCACCGGGTCATTCAGAATCGGAACTTCTTGATAGATGGGAAGGTCTTGTCCATGTCAAGACCTGGGAGATGGGTTTAAAGTTAAAACTGTGTACGGGATTTAATTTACAACAAGCCCCCCTACTTTTGCGGGGGTAAGGTCAAGTGTGTGAGCCCCTCGTTCCATTGCCAGCGCAAAGCGAGACTCGCATTCCCGCCAATCGATGACCCCCAAGAAACAGCCATTGGAAGTGGTAGTTTATCGATAGCCAAAATTGTTGGACAAGCTAGAAAGGAAAAATAATCAAGTAAAGGAGCCATGTAATCATGTAATGTTACTCTGTTACTGGCTTAGGCTGAGGATGGGATGACTAAACGCAGCGTAGGCGTACGACACGCCTGTCCTTCACCGCCATCAGGACTCTCACATCGACGTGAGTCTTCTGCTGTATTGTGACGCCCGGGTGTCCACTTGATGCAGAAGGCACGTGGGCCCAGGTACGTCTGTGGATCTTCATTTTTTAATGCCACGGTTCAATGCCCTAACTGTCAATGCCCTAGCTGTCATGACCCAAGAACAATACTCGTGGCACATCTCATTGGCGAAAACGGTCTCTTCAATCCCATGTTGTCTGATGTCTGCTACTATCTCTGCTTTCTCTTCTCGCTGTCAGCTCGCGCTGGCAAGCTAGCCATCATGAGAGATCAACGATGTCTTAGTCTCAGACACCCAAACTACGACAATACATCGGAAAACTAGAGCCGTATCGTAAGCTTACGTACAAAGAGGTTATATAACAAGGAGCACCGCATCTGCATCTCTCTACTGAGCACGTGCAAAGAGGTTTGACGACCCAAGGTTGTCTCACCAAGGGAGCCGTGTGGGTGTGGGAAATCATCAAGCGTTCGTAGACTGTGGACTCAGATAGGTGTGTGTGTGTGACCTGCTACATGCTTGGAACGGAACCGTTGGCACATGTACCACCTTGATATGCCTATGTAGGTGAATCTTGAAAGAGTACCCGTTGCAGCTTCAAAAGCAGCAAATGCCCTCCCGGAGCATCTGCCTTGTGGAAATCGTGCACGATCCGGCAAAAAGGCGTCATTCCATGCTACTGCAAATCCTCCAACCTAGTAGCGTCCTTGCTACTAGTAGTAATGGCCTCCAACCTAATAGCGACGGCCTCCAACCTACTTGCAAATCTTAAACTGCGTCATTGATCTGTACCGGCCTGCCTAATCCTGCCTGTGTGCCTGCATGACCGCGAGCATCCATGTCCCTCACCTTCGGACTTTTACAGCAGTGGTCGTTGCGCTTCATTGGGCGTCCTTTCCAGCGGCACCTGAACCATCCGAGCTTCGATAGGATGTCTCTGGCATCTACCTAACAACGAGAGGTTGACCTGCAGACCTGTGGTGGCCCTTGTTCTCTTGCAGTTTCTACGATGGCCGATCTTGGCGAACTGTTCTGCTCTTGGGCTTTTGCCGCACCAATCTGACCCCATGCTATTTGGACGAGCGGCTCCAATGGAAATCAAACACACTGATCAAATGGACCCTTTCATCAACAAATGGGGTGCGCAATGGGGCTTTTGTCTGCTCACCCACCTCTACGCCCACACCATCCAACACCATGACACCCTGCTGCTTTGCACAAGCTGCCTGTGAACCAAGTGTCAGATGATTCGACTGTGCAAAACATCGGTTTTGACATCTGTTGCACCCAAACTACGGTGCCACCTAGCATATGCCCCTTGACCTAGCTGAAGTCCCCGCATCTTCAAAGGGCATCCACCAATATCCGATTCAATATCCATGTTTCATGAGAGCTGGTAGGCTCATCAGTGGTGGGCCCATGAAGGTTCATCAAAACTGTCAACAAAAATAATCTATATAGTGATTGAAAAGCAAACTATTTTGGAAAATGTTCAGATATGTTTTCAACACATGAGCTACCCAATGACTGGGTACCCAAGCGTGATGAACGAATCCACCAACCATTAATTCTTCTCACACCATCCGCTGCGCAAATTCGTCGTCCGTTTGTGCTAGCAGGCTCCCGTTTAGGGCCTGTCAACACAGCGGGGCTGTAAACTATACAGGCGGAGTCAGAAGCCCGTTTCAGCTCCAAGGCAATCCAGAGGACAAACGTTGTGAATACCCCCCCAAGGAATTCGAGGACCAAAAAGAAAAATGCCTTCAGTCAGCTGTCAGCTCTCGCTTTACAGGACTCTGCAGCCGCTGTCTAGCTGGTCCCTCCAAGCTCATAGCACAGCACCCCTGAGGTGCCACACTTTTAGGTCTTGTCCTCCTATTCAAGGAGATCACAGTTCATCATCGACACTGGTTCGAGTCAGGGACGAGCCGTCTTGAAGCATTGTGGTACCGCGGAAGCTCTTCCACTTGCCTTGATGCAGCATGGCCGGCATGGAAGATGGGCACACAATGCTAACCGCACGGCACCATCTAGACTTGTGGTAGACACATAGGGGGCATCCAAGTGTGGGAACCGCGTCTTGTGTGATCTGCATGGAGCTTCAACCCCTATCAAAGTTTTAGAGAACCGCTTCGCAGTCGATCACCTTCACTTTTGGAGAACTGCGACATATCTCTGAGTGTCTCTTACTTTAAGCGTATCGAGATCTTGAAGGAAAAAACACCCACCCCTGGCCACACCAGCCGCTCACAGCCACACCACCTCACAACTGAGGGGTCGTCTCCGTCTCCGCCAGGGCACGGCGTTGCAAGCCCGGCACCTCCACCAAGGACGCGGACTCGGTTGGTCGGCACTGCCAATACCAAACGCTCTCCTGTCAGTTTTGGGCCAAGATCAAGAGCCTTATTCAGTTAAGAAGTCATCAGCCATCAAGGGAGCCATAGTTCCTGTTGGTTGTTCCAGTCATCCTGACCTAGTATTGCATACTAAACACGTTGAAAAACTATACGGAAACAACATGTTGCTGCTTGATTCTATTGTCTGGTGGTATCAGTACAAATGCAACTCAGCTGCTGTGCCAATTCTGAACCTAAGTCCCAATACAACAGTTATTGCCAGCAAATTCCAATTCCGGTTTCTCATAGTTGCCAGTGTCAGCACCCGACGCAAAACTTCCCCGGCGTTTGGCATGACCAAAACCCCAAGCTCATCCACCTCGACGCAAGTATAGCCATCCACACAGCAGTTTGCTCCATTCCAATTCCGGCCACCACAGGCACCCCAGGCCGCTGAACAACCAAAGCCGTCAGGCTTCGTGGTGGTGGTGGTGGTGGCCTAGGTCGTGGTGGTGGCTAAGAAGTAGTGAAGTTCTGTGGTGCGTCGCTATACAAACGGTTTTGCGGGTGAGACGTGCAGAATTTGCTTGTCGTGCTACTTTGGAGATGCTGCTCTTTCATTGCTTGGCCAGCATCAAACTGAAGTTTGTGTGATGGGTTCTGTGTGGTTGCATGGGGGTTCAGATGAAAAAAGTGGCCCACAGACCTGAACAAAAGAGCGGTTCACCCTGGACTAGCCGCGATTTGGGATGCCGGTGGGTGGAGGGATCAATAACGAGTGTGTTTTGAGTGAGGTACATGACCAAGCAGCGACGGGAGGCATATAGCGCAAACATTGGAAGCCTTTGAGGACCTTGGTGGCCTCGATGCCCTCCTTGCGGGTCCAAACCTCCCAAGGCAAAGGGAGAGGCAGATATAGCTCATGGATACAGTGCTCATGTAGGATCTTGATTAACAAAACCACTGATAGGAAGAGGTCTTTCAATCCATGTCTGGGGGGTTAGGTATATCTTTCACATATATATATATACATCTCTCTTTCTCTCTCTCTCTCTAGGATCCTACATGAGGGAGAAATATTGAAAAGATATGAAAAGAGTGTGTCTTCCCAACCCAGTCTGGTGGATGTGTTTTGAAAGGAAGGCGATGCAGCACTGCATGAAGAATTCGGTTGCATCGCCTTTTGCATTTGGCTTTTGGCTGAGGATGCCGACTCTCTAACTGGGTGTGCATGTTCATAGGTGTTGGATCCCCATGAACATTCACTAGGAGGGGTTGTGTCAGTAATTTTATAGATATAATTTGGCGGGCACCACCTAAAACACTATAGAATGAAGAGGTACTGGAGAAAAATGCACTCTATAAATTGAGTGTGACTCTGATAACATCAGTCGAGCACCATGCTAACAACCAAGATAAGCATGCTCAAAATGGTCCTCTATAAAATGATGTTCTGAGGATCCTTATGTTTTGGGTCAGGAATTAAGAAAGCAAAAAACAATTTATAGAGGAGATGTCCTGTGATCCATACATGTAGATTCAAAACATGGAGCACATTTTATAGAGGGGATTTGGATTAATAGTTTACATATATGAGAGAACCTTTTATAGAGGACCATTCCAGTCCCAAAAGAATTCTAGAAGAACCAGGCACGCAATTTGGTACAGAGAGGATGGGGAAATACGAAAGCTCTAGAAAATGACTGTGAATGTGCTTCACCTGTTTTTGTTCACTGCAAAATCAAAAGCACAGCCATTCTGTAATACATGTTTAGGAACAGTTGTGTGTGTGTCTTGTATGTTCTTGTGATTTTATACTGACGTAGTCTCTGGATGCCTCAGGAGCAGTAAATCTAGATTGGTTTGGGACTGGATCTTGGGCTTCTATATATATAATGCTGCTGTACGGTGTTATTTCGTTCACTACTCTTTCGGCATCTTTCCCTACAAAATGTTTGTCTTGCTGATGAGTCTGTCGTCATGTGCAAACTGTATCTCTATAAAATGATTGTTGTTGTTTTTTCTTCTCACAAAATTGCTCTATAAAATGTTTTCTCACCTCTGACTGCCATAACGAAATGCCACACATGTGCGCTCTATAAAAAGGAAGGATACCTGACATGTTTATGTTGTTGGTGAGTAGAAAACCCCGACTTTCTATAAATTGCGGGTCTTCATCTTTTTCCAAAAAAGAAGTTTCTCTATTTAAAAAATATACGGGCCTCAAGGCCACCCATTTCATAGAGGAAATGTCAACGGGGATGGTGTTGGTCTATTTCCCTTCTTCCAGGTGGTCTTTAAGAGAGGTCTCTAACTAGCCATTTGGAGGCCAAGTCTCCAAACAGGTCCTCGCCTGGTTTGTTTCCACGGCCCAAAAGCTGCCTTCTTCCGGCCCGGCCTCACATCGCGAACCTGAAAACTCGATGCCCGCGCAGCTGGTCACCTTGGCACACTCCACCTTGCAACGATCCAAGCTGCCGATGTCGTGCAGCACCTGAGTCACAATCCAAGCAGATTTGCCAATCCCACTGGGGTCCTGCGGAGCTGCTACTCCCCGCCCCTGAACTTCCAAGAATGAAGTTGACCCCGCTGAATTGGTCTAAGCTGCAGTGTAGTGACTCGGCAGGTTGTCGTTGACATTCGCTCCACGGCAGGCACGGTCTTCACCCCCATCCACTGGCTCAAAGGTGCCCATCTGAGGCAAAGTGGTGGTGGTGTAGCTGCCATAACGCAAGCAGGTGAAGCCTCCATTCACAGCAAACCATCGCAGCCAAACGGCGATGCCCTTTGTGTATTTTCAGGTTCAAACAGAACTGGCTGGAGGTGGAGCAGCTACAAAACAAGGAAGGTTCAGGGATGTTTGGCTGTCTGCCTCAGTGATCAATTGATGGATAGCCGGGTGAAAATGGACCTGAAGACAAGGAGTTCATTTTACCTATTTTTACCTCGCCTGGCCTGAGGTGGTTCGAAAGAACTCTCATGAGAAGGAAGTTGAACAAGGTCCTTGGAATTCTGAGCCGTTAAGAGGAACCCCGGGCAGACGATAGAAGGGAAATAACATTGCTATCAGAAATGACCTGCGACCTTGGTCACCCCTTTCATACAGTTCAGGCTGGGCCCGGCATGTGGTCAAAACAGAGTCACCCATCTCAGAATTCCCCCCAAAACTCAATGTCAATTCGTTCACATGTGGTCATCTTCAGAATCCCTTCAAAGCCCTTTTTTGTTCCGCGCCTGCCAAGGGGATCGAGGCTTCAATACCCTCGGGCCGCGACCAGATTTCACACCTCTGCCCCGAAAACTCCACGCCACGGCAGACTGGCACCTGGCAGCGGCGGATCAGCAGGATAAAGACCATGGGACAAAGGCGGTGGGGGTGGGAAAGAGCTACCTGCGGGATTCTCAGCTTGAGCTCGTGAGCGTTGTTGTTCCCCTTTTTGCTAGTCTGAATGGCGATGCATCGTGATGTTGGTGGATCCTGGATCATTGGGCTTGCCGCTCAATGAATGAAGCCTTTCAGAGTCTGCCGGTCACCTGGCCCTCCAGTCGCCTTGGAGCACTCTGCTTTGCAGTCTTCCAAGGAGGAGACCGCCACAACCTTGGCGCGAGCCGCAGGCCAGTCAACAAAGAATTGGATAATGGATGAGCATGGAATTTTACAGGCCAGCTGTTGAAAGGTGCGATTCCATTGCATCATGACTGAAAGGGTTACAACAAACCTGAAGTGAAAGTAAGGCCGACCCCATGGGAGTACGGGAACTGACCAGCACTGCGGAATGGGCCACGGTATAGTATGCGGCGGCATTATCAGCAGGATGCGCCCCTCGGCAAGCTCTTCCCTCACCACCATCCACTGGGTTGAACTCATCATCAGTAATAATGGACACGGTCGTGGTCGTGGTGGTCGTGGTGCTCGTGCTGGTCGTCGTGGTCGTCGCTGTGCTGGCTTCGACCTCGTGCCACAAGTTAACAGTGGCCCATGCGGCACATGAGTTCGTCCAAGTTCGCAGTCAAGAAGCTGATGAGGTGGATGATCCTGTTGAGCCCGGCAGCACTGCGATGTCCGCGCAGTTCCAGAACTCTTCGCCAAACTTCTCGGCATTACAACCTCGGCTGACACGACAACGACTCCCAGTCCGTCCGCCCCATGCTCCGTCCGACCGGTGTCCGAAGGTCTGAACACTGAGCCACAGCTGTTCTCGCAGCTTCGCCAGCTGGCCAAGATCTGGCTATGCCAGGCATCGGCATCCCAGCCTTCCGGTGAAACGAGAGCGAAGAGAGCATGTCTGCAAGATGCCCGTGTTGATCCTCGCATGCATCTGATTACCTAGGCCTTGCACGCTGGCGTCGTTCCGCTTGCCAGTCTTTTTCCTATCTACCACAAAAAATAGATCTAAACCCAGAACGAGACCCAACATGACCCAACTGCCCCAAATCGGCGACGGGCCTAATTTTGCGAACTCCTTGAAGTAGTTCACGTAGTCGAAGTCATAGAGACAGCTGTTGCCGGTAGACCAGTACCACTGCAAGGTGCACGCCTTCATTCAATCTACGACCCACCAAAGATACCAGGTTCACAAGAATTGTAACACGAACCGAGCCCCTTTGAGCAGAAGAGAATCAGAGCAGCTTAGCGCCCAATGAAAAAAAGAGAAGAAAGGGACAAGTTCAGGGAAACTCACTACCCTTTTCATGGACGAAAGCAGGAAGGCTGAGAAGGGGCCTCACAGCTGAGATTGTCTGGGATCTTGTAGCGCATGACATGAACCTCGTGTGAGCTTGGATAAGTGCTGGCCATGGTGTCTTTCCAGTCGGCTCCAGCCACCGGGGTCTGGCTGCCCGCTGGCGGGAGGTACCTTGCATGCGCGGCTGAAAAGCTGGAGTAAGAAGAGTCTGTACAAGAAGAGTCTGTATACTACTATACGGTAAGGCGATGAGGTTTGCTGACCGATATTGGATGATATTGGCAGAAAAATCATGGACTTCCCGACCTGTATCGAAAGCCACGAGGGACATGGAGATCACAAGCTGACCGGTGACGAGCCTGTGGGAACCCGACCGTAAGGAAACCAAAAAGCAAAGAATGCTTTGAACACCCGTTTATCTTACAAAGGGAGACCATTCAACGGACCCCCGAACCAGCGGGCGTTCAGAAGTATCCATGCCAAACCAACCATTGTCTTGGAGGCGGGGGGACATATCGGACCTAGACATATGACATCCAGATAGAGAGAGAGAGAGAGAAAAAAAAAAGATACATACATACATACACTCCCGAAAACTAACATAGACCCTGACAACGGTCCCATGGAAAACTATTTTCCTCTACCAACCAGGAGTTTTCAGGTTCCATGTTAGTCTTCCAGGGTGTTCATGCATGCTCAAGCCATCTCAAACGAAGATGAACTTTCCAACATCCAGGTCTCCAACGCTCGGGGTGCTTCGGATCAATGGGTTGACAGTCCCCACGCGGGTCGTTCACCTCGCAGTCAGCCGAGGGCTCCGCACGTTCCAGGAGCCACTGGTCCAAGCAGGCCTGGCCCTCGGCCGCTGAGCTCAAGGTCTTGACATCCAAGGCCTTGTCCTTGGAGACGTTGCAACAGCACGCTAGTAGGTTGAGGGCGATCGGTGGCAGATTGGAGGCCATCGCTAGTAGATTGAAGGCCATCGCTAGTAGATTGGAGGCCATCGCTAGTAGGTTGGAGGCCACCGCTAGTAGATTGAAGGCCATCGCTAGTAGATTGGAGGCCATTGCTAGTAGGTTGAGGGCCAGCGCTAGTAGATTGGAGGCCATCGCTAGAAGATTGGGGTTGGAGGCCATCGCTAGTACGTTGGAGGCCACTGCTAGTAGGTTAGAGGCCATGGCTAGTAGATTGGAGGCCATCTCTAGTAGGTTGAGGGCCATCGCTAGTAGATTGGAGGCCATCGCTAGAAGGTTGGAGGCCATCGCTAGTAGGTTAGAGGCCATTGCTAGTAGGTTGGAGGCCATCGCTAGTAGGCTGGAGGCCATTGCTAGTAGGTTAGAGGCCATGGCTAGTAGGTTGGTGGCAATTGCTAGTAGGTTGGAGGCCATCGCTAGCAGGTTGGATTCATCAGGCGAATCTACGTAAGCAGGAGATGGTTCAGTTGAGGGACTTTTATCGCTTGGCCCTAGCGTTGCAGACTCATAGGAAGAATGCTGAGACACATGTTCCTGCGGCTCAATCCGCAAGAACCTCATCCCATGAGACAGGCTGCCCTTTTTTCCAACTTGTTTGCAAATTGGCAAATTGATGCACCTTGGAAGCTTGATGGTGCAGCTGCCCCGGACAACAATTTCTTTGCTCACTCCTATTGGGGTGTTTCGCTCATGAATTGCATGTCGGACTGGGTCAGCCATTCCGACTGGCCTCCTGCAGACTCAGCTCAGGAACATGTTGATGTTGGTGTAGCCTGAATGGAATTAGTGCTTAGCTTCATGTTCTTCACACAGTGCTACTTGCCACTTCATAGACCGGGTAAGGATAGTGGACACGTGTTTGCCTGGGCCCAGAGTCCGGCCGATGCAATTGCTTATGGCCATTCTTGGAATCAATGAATGTGCCTCCCAATTTGCCTCCATGTCTGGTCAGATGGTTTCCTTGTGTGGTACTCCAGCCTTGCCACCACATGTACGCAGAGCTAGGATCTGTTGTGTGGTTGGGCTCTCAAAGCGTCCTTCTTTCCCGTACCAGGCCCAGGTGGCCAAAGTTTTGAGTGAGGCATTCCAGAGTCGTATTCGTCCTTGTTCGTATAACTGGTGGCCCAGTCTTGATTTAACCGCTCATCCGGCCTTGGGCCACTTCCGCTCGACTGCGCCTTGTGAATCGTGGAATATTCTGCAAAAAGAAGTAGAGTGCCTTAGCACCACACTTTGTCACTGCGTTTGTCAACGAGTTCTTCCTCTCCTTCCTCACCCGTGCATAGTGTTCTTCTCACATCGGCCGCAGAGTTTCGACACTAAGCCCCTCTCCCGCCACCCGTGCCAGGAGGGGCCTTTCAGCAAGGAAAACGCCATTGCTAGTAGGTTAGATGCCATTGCTAGTAGGTTGGAGGCCAT